ATAAAATCTTTGAAAAAAATAAAATAAAAAATAAAAATAAAAGAAAGTCATGCAAAAAAGTACATATATTTTGTTCAAGCGATCAGAAAAAGCACTTGTTGGATTTATGTTATATTTCCACATTTCAATTTATGATTTGTTTGAGAGCAAAGATGTTCATAAAGAAATCCCTCTCTGATCTGGAATATCAATCCAAGCTTCCTTCTTGGCCTTAACACAACCATGATCCAACATGTGCAGTTTCTCCAAGTTAATTGCATGAGACTCTTAGAACTGGGCATTTTTAAATACTTTCCAGCAGTATCAGGAATAGGGTTGCCTAGTATTATAATACAATACATGTCCAGAACTCTCACTTCCAGCTACAGAAAAATATCTGAAGCACATGAAGCTCTGAAAATGCTGCCTTTGCTTAGCTTTAATCCTGGTAAAGAGAGTTTTCTGCCTCACCCCCCTCGTCTGACACCACATTCTCTAGCCCCTCCTCCTTGTTCTACAGACAAGTGGGCAAATATGTAAAGGTGCAAGGTCAACAGCAGGTAAGGAAGCCAAGAGTCTCAAAGCATGAATTCAGCATGAGAGAAAGAGAGTCTGGGCTAGTGACCCGTATCAGATTTGCCTTCGGCCAGCATTTCAACAGAGGACAGTGCCTAATGTCCAAGGTAATGCAAATATGCTACCTGAAGACCCCACATGTGAGAATCTGAGGCACTGTCAGAGGCTAGCTTGGGACATTTAGGCCAATGGGGCTTCTCCTATCAATTGCATAAGTTTAGATGAACTCTTGCTTAGACATTTCATAACCAAGTGATAGCAAAAATCGCTTTGTAACTAGAGTGAACTCTCTACCCTACCTCACTCTGTAGCTGTGGGTGGGCCACATAGCCAAAATTACTCTCAACTCCATTAACCGTAAAAAGAAGGAGTTGAATTACTAAGATGCTTAATTAAGGTATCAGACAGTCTAGGAACATATGAAATTATAAGCCAAATTATATGCATTTTTTTTTGAGAGAGAAGATGCATATTTTTTTCAGATTCTCAATTCATGAATCCAAAGCGATTATGGCCCCCTGAGTTATATAACCTTTAAATTCCATTTAATATTAATAT